AGAAACAAACAAATATGTATTAATCGATTGCGACTCCGAAGAAAAAAGTAATGTACATTACAATTTACATCCGAATAAATCAAACGTCACACCACCTACTACAAAGTCAAAAAGTCAGATACGTATGAAAATAAAAGCCCCACGTAAATACGGTATATGCTAAATGTTGATTATTGGGTCAATTCTCCACCTAATAAGAAGATACTTTTCCATAGTTTCTCTAAAGCTCTTGACAATATATAGCTTCATATATATGTCTATATATATATATATATTCAATTGGTAGAATATGGATCTCTGTGCTTATTGTGTAATTTAATGTGAAGAATAGTCAAAAGACAACTTAATCGTGCATTGAACCTTCAAAATCAAGTCTGTATAACATGGATTGTTTGGTAAATAACAAGCAATTGTAGATTCCACGTTATTTATCCTCTGATAAGTACCCAAAGATCTCTTTTTTTTTTTTTATTGAAATGACCAAAAGATCTTCACTTTGATTAATAATGCAAAGTGTCATGGTGATAATACTTCAAATTATTTTATGTTCGTCAATGATTATGGGGCTACACGTTTTATATATGACTTGTTCTTTCTTTGTCATTTTTGTTATTTTTCTTCATGTGACCAAGTCAAAAGAGTAAAACCCACGTCAGAATCAGATGAAGATGTTAAACTCTCCTAGCCAATGAGGAAATTAGAATCGAATTTTCTTTTATAGAAACTTAACTCAACATACGACATTCAGTTTGCGAAGGGGGGAAAAACACCAAAAAGGCACTTGAATGAATAACTTTTGAACGTTTCTTTTGAGGTACTTGCATGTAATGGCGTAACCTACATTTGGCAGTCATGCATTTAGGACTAGACAAAGCCCAATGCACATAAAACTAAATATTGATACCTTTTTACTTTGCAGGTTAAAAATTTAATGTAATGCTTATATGCTATCATTTTCGCCTTGTATTGCCCTCATCAAATGTAGATAAATTTCTTCATCTTTTGGAGGAGAAAAAACAGCACAGGAATAGTAAAGACCAACTAAATAAGAGAAAGCTAAAGTTTGGAAACGTTAATTAAAAATTGTAAGTTGGACTTGGGTGGTAGAAATTCTAGAGATTACAATTCTCTCTCTCTCTTTCTTTCTTCTTCTTTATTTTTTATTTTTTATTTTTTATTTTGTGAGAGTTTCTCCGGTAAGCCTCCTTACCAGTAAGATTATATTTTTAATCGTTAGATTAATCACATCAGATTAAAAAAGTATATAGAACAGATAGTTTTTAATACAGATCTTATAACTAAAAAGTAGATAAGTAACTAATGATAGTTCATTTTTTTGTCATATTAAAGAAACTCCCTTATTTCTTTACTGCACTTACCTCTTCGATCTTTCTCTCCTATTGGCACGGACAAACTTGCTGGCTGGAATCACAAGGTTGAGCGAATGGATGGAGGGAGGTAGGCAAAACAACAAATGGCTACTCACTCGCTTGGTCATGACAGGGCCGCGTGAGTAGTCATACAAGAAAAATACTCAAGACACTACTAGTGTTAAGTACCACTATTAATAAAAAATAAGTTATATCTATGAATTCTATATTGCATGTTCTATTTTTTATTAGTTGATGGTGCTCATCACAAAAGGGGCAGGCAAGGCTGCTATGGGGAGATTTTGTTTTTGAAATTAATGTTACTGTTTCAATATTTTTTGGATATAAAATCAACAACTAAAATTAAAGTAACAATTACATAGAAATGTAAGATTTTTTGTGGACATTATGAATCATTTGACCTAAAAGAAAAACAAAATAAATGTTAGGGGCGTGAACGTAAATGATTAGATTAAAAGATATCTCTATCATTCATTAGAAACAACAAGAAATGTCAATTTAATTATCCCCATAATAATAAGAGTAACAAATAATCACCTGCATTTTAGTATCCAATAATTGTTCTATTTATAGTTGTTAAAATTCAATTCGCCAAATTCATTCTCTATACATAGATTCACTAATTAAAAACAACAATTAATTGATTACATTATTTAACATAAAACAATATTTAAAAGATCTCTTCGAATCCATAATTATATCTTGTTGCTCCATCTATGCAAGACAAGAGCTAAGACTAAGAGTCATTTGGTTGGAGGGTTTAAAGAGTTTAAATTCAGGTTCATGTTCAATTAAGTATTTATTTACAAAAAGTAAAAATGAGTTTTGATATAACATTTAAATCATCAAAATAAAAGTATTTCTAAACCCAATTTCCCTTAAATTCTCAAGATTTAAACTCAAATTTAAAACCCACATAATTCAAAACCATCCTCATTTAAACTCTTTGATCAAACGAACTCTAATGAGCGACAAAAGTGAAAAAAAAAAAGAAGCAAATAATATAACTGAATCATCAAACAAAATAAAAACGTGAGGGGGTGGTAATAAAAATATGTGAAGAAATAGAGAGAAATAATTATAAAGGTGAATATTTTAAGTCCGAGTGAGAAACTGTATGAAACGAGCAAGCAAAGGGTGCGTCTTCAAGTCTTGAGTTTGAGGCTTTGAGCAGACTAATCACGCGCACGTCACGTTGCGCGTCTTGTCAACGGCTGTGGCTTTTCAGCCCCACGTGACTTTTCCTACGACCGCGCAACTAAAATGCTCCTCAAACAATTATTAATTAATATTTGCCCAGTTTTGAGCCAAAAATAGTAATAATAAATTAATATTTGCTCCGGACGTCAATCTTCTCTTTCAATTCCGTTCACTTTTCCCTTTCCTTTTTTTTTTTAAAAAAAAAAAAAAAAAAAAAAAAAAAAAAATCCGTTCACTTTCTAACTGGGGACACCCAAACCAATGTTGCTAGTTTACAGCCTCCACCTCGCCCAATGGCCTTTCATTTTTTTAAGGCTTTTCAGACAAATCACAAAACTTTATTATTCGCATTAAAATAATTTAACAAATAGTAAAAATTAATAGCATTAAAATAATTTAGTACAAACATAAACAACATTTAAATAATTACTATGAAATTTTTTATATTCATAAGGTATTTGTAAAAATTATTATATTTCAATTGCACTCTCTTAAATCTTTCATTTCCATATAGTGTAATTTTTTTACTTTTTTTATTGTCCTTTTATAGAAAAGATTTCAATGGCCTTAAACACTTGTTTCTGAAAAACTTATAGAAAATAACATACTTTGAAATCTTTTTGCAAGTATCTTGAAAAAAAAAATCGTTAGTAAATTATTTACTTAAGATAATAATGAACAATATTTGATGTTTTATCTTTATATTATGCCAATTTTTATTCCTTTTTAATTAGAATTAAAAATTTAAATTAATAAAATCAACGTACACACTAAAAAACAGAGAGTATTAACAAAAAGTCAAGGCAACATTTAACAACACGAAAAACAGAGGAGACTAGGCACCATTTAGCAAGATTATGCGCAGTAAAATTACAGGATCTCGAAATCCATTGAATAATGAAATCTTTTGGAATAAGGTTTCTACGGCGGATATCCTCCATGATCAATCTACTATGCCAAATAGATGCAGGGAGCGAATGAGCTTTGGCTACAGCCTGGCAATTTGTCTCAATAACCAGAGACGAAATCTGTCTGCTTCTAGCTTGGAGTAGCGCCTCACGCAAAGCCGAAAATTCCAGAAACTCAGGATCACTCGGTCAAAGCCGTGTCAACCAACACCAGAGAGTCTTCGAATTGGAGTCACAGGCAACTGCAAAATCCACTCCAAGGGCAACGCCGATGTTATATACTTAGGCATCAAAATGTTATATTTGGCATATTATTGCAAGGTGCATTCCATTAAAGAATTTGACTTTATTGCAAAATTAATTCAAGAGCCTACGCACCCCGCATGGCAAAAACCAACTACTTTCTTAAATTGGCGTATCGTTAAAGAAGGATTTCCACGTTCAGGTGTTATAATTAAGCAATTGACATGAGATTTTAACATTGTTTCGAATAGCATTTTGAGACATGAATATCGCCTTAGAGATTGGCACATTACAAATTGTTTGGAGTTTACATAGCATATGTTCTGCTGCGTGACAACAACCCTCTTTTTTTTTGGGTTATATGTACAGGAAAATAAGACAAGATAAATTGTGCAACCAAACATCTATACTCATGAGTAATTACGTTATTGCTCAAGGGTATAAAACTTCGGAGAATTTTACAGTAGGATATCAAAAAGTGGACTACCAGTGTCTCTGTATAGATGTGTATAATAAACAGCTACTTTACATATTTTTTTAATTATTATTACGTGATTTTAATTAAATCTAACAATTAAAAATATGCACTACGATATAAGATTTTAGTGTAAAAAGATCCTAAAGCCTTTTGAGATAAAGTTTAAAGAGTTTCTTTGGTAAGATTATAAAAAATAAACTATATGTTATTATCTACTTTTTAATTGTCAAATTTGTATTAACAATTGCATGTTCTACGTACTTTTTAAATCTAATGTGATTTTAATTAAATCTAACGGTTATAAATTAGTACTACAAGTAGAAACACCTACTAGAGAAATTCTGGACTTGGACAATAATGTCAAGATACATACTAAATTGGTAAAAATATGGAAACCATTTTTTTCCTACCTTGACAAAAACAGTATTTCTTTCCTTAGCAAAAATCTTTCTAGATAGAGTCTCGTATACATATTATAGGTTCCCAGTGAAGATATAATTAAAATCACATTAAAATAAAAGATATGTAAATTAAAAAGTATTTAATAAAGATCATGTGGTCAAAAAATAAAGATATATATTATGTGAGAGATTTTTATTGTAATAAAAAAATTAAATGTGATTATTAAAATGATTAATTATATATATATATATATTTTTTTAATCTAATATTAACTAGATTTATCAATAAAAACAAATCTTACGAACATGATGGGTGTAACAATGAGAAGTTATATTTAAGAGAGCATAAACAAGGGGAAAAAAAAAAGGTGGTACGCTTTCCAGCTGCCATCGCCGTATCACCCACACCAGTGACACCACTACATTTCCAATTTCCTCCCCTCTAAATATATTTAATATTTGAAAACCATCCTATTTCGCATGAAACGCTTCTTCTTTGTCCCCTTCTCTCCCTCCTCTTCAAATTTTCACTTCCAAACACAAGACTCCCTCTCTCTCTCTCTGAATCTGACCCCTTCCTCTTCTTCCTCCCTTATCCTCCACCCACTCTCTGCTTATCCTGCGCCATTTCAAACACCAACCCAGAAAAGAAATAATGGGAAAGGGCGGGTCTCTGAGCGAGAGCGTGGTGAAGAAGATCCTCCTCTCGTACGCCTACGTCGGCGTATGGATCTTCCTCAGCTTCACCGTCATCGTTTACAACAAGTACATCCTCGACAAGAAGATGTACAACTGGCCCTTCCCCATCTCTCTCACCATGATCCACATGTCTTTCTGCTCCTCCATCGCCTTCCTCCTCGTACGCGTCTTCAAGCTCGTCGAGCCCGTCTCCATGTCCCGCGATCTCTATCTCTCCTCCGTCGTCCCCATCGGCGCTCTCTACGCCCTCTCTCTCTGGCTCTCCAATTCCGCCTACATCTACCTCTCCGTCTCCTTCATCCAGATGCTCAAAGCCCTCATGCCGGTCGCCGTCTACTCGATCAGTGTTTTGTTCAAGAAGGAGGGCTTCAAGACCGACACCATGGCCAACATGCTCTCGATCTCCTTCGGCGTCGCCATCGCCGCCTACGGCGAGGCCAGATTCGACACCTGGGGAGTCATTCTCCAGCTCGGTGCCGTCGCGTTCGAGGCCACCAGGCTCGTCATGATCCAAATCCTTTTGACGGCGAAGGGAATCTCGCTCAATCCAATCACCTCGCTCTACTACGTCGCGCCTTGCTGCTTCGTCTTCCTCCTCGTGCCGTGGATCTTCGTCGAGTACCCGGTCCTCAGGGAGACCTCGAGCTTCCACTTCGATTTCGTCGTCTTCGGGACCAACTCGCTCTGCGCCTTCGCCCTCAACCTCGCCGTGTTCTTGCTCGTCGGGAAGACCTCCGCGCTGACGATGAACGTCGCCGGCGTCGTCAAGGACTGGCTCCTCATCGCATTCTCCTGGTCGGTGATCAAGGACACCGTCACGCCGATCAATCTGTTTGGGTACGGCCTCGCCTTCCTCGGCGTCGCGTACTACAACCACTCCAAATTGCAGGCGCTCAAGGCCAAGGAGGCGCAGAAGAAGGCTTCTCAGGCCGACGAGGAGGCCGGGAGGTTGTTGGAGGAGAGAGAAGGAGATGGAAAGAGGAACGAGTCTCAAGACTGATTTCCACAGAGTATTTAATTTTTCTTCTTCAATTCTCTATCACAAATTTGAGCCAGATTAAACAATAATAAGAGCAAATTGAACGAGGATTATATGAAGGTGACGAAATTCTTTCCAGATTTCCAGATTTGGATGGGAAAACAAATTGGGTTGGGTATGTTGTTCTAGATCTCGGCTTCTTATGTTAGTAGTGACCTCTTTTTTCCTTTTTTCCTTTTTTTTTTCCCTTATTCTTTTCTCAGCACTCCAATATTAGTGATGTTTGGGATTTGGGATTTGCATTTGTTGCTTATGCTGCCAAGCACGTAATGCTAGTTGAGTCAGAATCTCAAAATGCCCTAATTTTTTCTTACTACATCAGTGTATTTCCTCTGCTTATTTATGTTCATGTAGAAACTCCTTCCTAGAAGGTTTAATGCTATTTATTGATACTCATCATCTTTTCTTTTTTCTTTTTCATTTAATCTATTTCTTTCAGTGTTATTGTAATGTTTGTGCTCTCAATTGGGTATGAGTATTGACTCCGTAAATTAGATCCCATTTTGTGATACATTGTGGTCGAAATTTTATTTTCTGAATTAGAGTGTTTCTTGATTGATTATATCTCTTTCTTAACTTACTGATTCCTCTAGATTTCTTCCTTCTTACATTTGATGGGTTGAAACTTTCTTATTGAACCTGCGTAAAGCTTCCATGTTACGATGGTAAAACTCGGCAGTTTCAAGGTACATTGTCTTTGATTTTAGTTCTGTCATTTATTCAAAGAAATGCTCGTATAGTTTGTCTGTCTTGACTTTGCAGATCACAGAGCAAACAATTCAAAGAGTTCTCTTGTTGCCAGAGTTTCCTAAATCTGATTTGATCCTCCCACAGTACGAAACTAGCCAAATAAACATCAAAAGAACCTTTTGAGTTCTCTTCCCTTTGTGCAGCTAAAAGAACAAAAAAGTTCCTTTTCCTGAAAAGAGGGTTTTGTTTTATCGCGAGACCCGGTTTATGAACCAGGATTTTAAAGAGTTAGAATTTGTTTTTAACCCAGGATTAACAATCGTTTTATACTCTACTATTTCTAGTTCTGGGTTTTAAATGAAAATTTTTGTCTGTGAAAGGATAACAAGCTTTGCGCACTTCACAGGTGCAACGTCCCTGTTTGCACACTAAAGGAAAATTTCTCGTGGTTGGTGGATGTCCCATTTTATGGATCACTTTCTTGTTTCCGAAATCCCACATCATTGATGAAGCCACGTATTTCTGAAGAACGAAACTTGTGACTTTTTAGTCCAATCACATTAATTGAAAATGCAAAAACCCAAAACAAGTTGGGATTTGAAGGGAAGTTTGCATTTTTTAAACTTGGCTTGGTGGAGTTCTAGAGAAGCCACTGTTTTAGGACTAGAATGAAAAAGAGTTTATGATGCAGCAATTAATTAATTCAAACGCTTCTCAGGCTATAAGCAAAATAGGGAGTAGAAACAGAAGCAGCTATAAAATTTTGAGCCGCAGTCTAGGGATGTCAATGGGGTGGGGGCGGCGGTGGCCTGCCCTATTAGGTGCCGCCCCATTGCCTGTACACGTTCTCAACTCTCATATATTTCCTAGGTCTACATGGTGAAGTCAATGAAATCAAGTAGCTACTCTTCATGAAATAAATCGCAGCCAATTTTAGCCACTTATCATTATTTCACTTTACATTTTTTATTTCCATGTCATATAATGCAATGTGGGGGACTACTCGCGACCAAAAGCAGGGCTTATTTTCCACCCTCTTGATTTGCCATAATTTGAATGCCTGTAAGTGTAAATGATGTTAATTGTCGTTTTCTATCCCTGGCGATAATTAGAAAAAGCTACTATGGAGTGCCGAAGGAGCGTTTGTCTGTTTATGTTGAAAAGTTTCTGTAAATTGGTGGTATTTCATAATTGGTACATCCTTTTCAAATGAACAAGCTATTATGTGTTCTCTCTCCCTTGAAAAAAAAGAAGATGATGATGATGATGAAGAAGAAAATCCATGAAATATCGTGGGGTGATTTACAGAACCACAAGTCTTGTGTGACAGAAAAGTGGAATTCACAGTTTATCCAATGGAAAAAAGTTGGTTAGGGGTCAATTTGTTGGCGTTACTGTAAAATACGTGTTTTTCTTTTGTTTCTTTCAGTGAAGAAGATACATGCATGTGTGTATACGTAGTCGTGTAGAAACTATGACTATAAATTGTTGCAAAGGATTTGGAAAGTGGGACATTTCTGTCTGTGCATAATTTATGAAAAGGACCTTTCTGTTTATTTTTTTCTGGCTTCTTGCTATTCGATGTTTCAACTTCAAATTGTTTTCAGACAATTATGACTCGTGAGATTAGATTTATCACGCTCAACTATAATGAGCACAAAGCTAATGGTTACGCGTGCGCATTATAACTCTTTGCCCACTGGTGTGTCTATTATTCTGGTGTAGCATTTTTGCTTCACGGTTTCTATGTATTATTAAGTTGAGCAAACCTACCAACTGAAAGCATTGCTTTCCTAACCCCCACCAAAAAAGAAAAAAAAAAGCCAGAAGACACAATACAAACATAGGACCCAAAATAATGTGTGCTAATTAGCTATTATTAGACAATTGATAAAAATAGGATCAAGCCATGTCAGTAAAATAGTAATAAAACTCTCTAGTTAGAGTCAATTTAGGCATAATTGTACCACGTGCGTTTAGAATTCATTTTAAAATGATTTTATTTTTTATATAAAAATAGAAATGAAAACGTTTTTAATCTCAGACAGAAATTATTTTTAAAAATGTATCTGGTAGTTTTATCAAGTGATTGTTTTCAGTATAAAAAAATTATTAATGTCTCTCTCTATTCGAGAGAGAAGAAAATAAAAATAAAAAATAAAAAAATAACTTAAACATTTTTCTCCTATTTTATACTAAATCAAAAAATCATTTTTATTTTTATTTTTTATTTTTAATTGTGCATTCGTTTTTATTTTTTTCTCAAAAAAACGTGAAAAATAAAAACAAAACAATTCCAAACACGGTTGATTCATAAATTGGTAGAACTGAAACGAAGAAACAAATTTAACTCTCATGTGTTATTGGGGTTGTGCAACTATAAAAAGTTTAGCTAGCTTGGGCCCGGGCCGAAACATGGATGGCCTCTTCTGAGAACCATGTCCATGTCTTTAATGGATTGGGAGGATACATGACATTGGAAATTGCGAAAGAGACACCGGCTCTGTATGAAACTTAATACGGGTTAGCAACATCCACGTGCGAATTATAGAGATGGCAGCATTCCGCCCTGTGAGTCCCCGTCCTGACAAAGCAAGAGGGAGGACAATAATCCGGGACGAGGATAAAATCTTGTCCCTGAGAGAGGCCCCGTCCTATTCTGCTTCGTCGCCATTCCTAGCGAATTATATCTAGGGAGTCTGATAAATATGTTTAAAACATGGTGATTTGAACTTGTAATCTAAAATAGTATTAAAATTTAAAACTATATTTGAATGTGTGATTTAAATATGGTTATTTTGTGTGAAAAGGTGTTAAATATATCTACGGACATCTGGTAAATATGTTTAAAACATGATGGTTTGAACTTGTAATCTGAAATAGTATTAAAATTTAAAACTATAAATGAATGTGTGATTAGAGATGCAACAATGGGCCGGCCTAGACCCATCCTAACAAAGTGATGGGCCGGGCCGGCACGGCCCGTCACCGTTCAAGGCACGGCTCAGCCCGTAAATATTGGTGGGCTGGGTTGGGCCAACGTATATCGGCCCATAGGCCGGTTCGGCACGGCCCATGAAAAATCATGGGCCAGGATGGGCTTGGGCCGGCCCGTCTAGGCCCATGATGGGCCGGCCCAGTCCGGCCCGTCTAGGCCCATAATGGCCCGGCCCGTTTAGGTCCATAATGGCCCGGCCCAGCCCAACCCATCTAGGCCCATAATATTTTTATGTTTTTTTTTTCTTTTTTTTAGT